GAGCAAAGGTGGCGAGAGCGTGGCGCGGTGCTGCGCGGCTTGACACAGGTGCGCTGCCAAGGTGTGGTGCGTCGACGATTCGGGTCGGCTGCCGCCTGGTAGCGTCGCACCGAAGCTTCGAATCCAGCCAACTCGTTTAGCCTGACGGAGAGAGGGAGAACGACCGCGCCGACGACGACCACGACCACGACCACGACCACGACCACGACGACAACAGCCTACGGAGAAAGAGAGAAAGAAAAGGAAGAAAAAACCGCGCGAGTTAAATATTGACCGAGCACGATTAAACGAGCGAAGCTCGTTCGTTCGTTGGCCGTCGAAGCATCGATCGGTATCGCGAGCTCCCTTTTCGATCGTTCACCATCTTGGTACCGTCTAGCCGAACAACCCTTCGCTGCTGGTCACCGAGTAACGGAGAAGGACGGAAAAAAGATCAGAGACCCGGGACCGTTTATTGCCCCGACGCGTTGTTTTCCCGACCGACGAAAAGGGATTCGTTTACTTTTCGCCGTAAGAGTACGCGCCAGTTTGTTCGTAGGCGTCGAACGCGCGCGCGACGCGTTATCGTCGAAAACAGCGGGAGTGGAGGCGACGAGAGCTCGTTTCGAGAGCGGAGGGTGTCGTCATACTTACAGAGCACACACGGGATTCCTCCGATAAGGTACGGTCAGGCGAAACACGGTCGTAAGACACGCTCGGTGTCGAGAACTCGAGATTCGAAGCATCCCTCGATGCGATCCTGCCGCGTTCCTTAACGCCGATCGTCTCGATCGAAACGCGATTTCTCTCTACGCCCTTCGAGCACGCCTTTCTCGATCGACGTTCGCCTCGCGTTCGTCGTCGTCGTTCTCGTTTCGACGACGACGCGCTCGCGCTACGCCAATGCGAGGGGGGCTGCTCGTTCTCGTCCCAACCTTTAACCGAGATTAACCGAGATATCGCCCGTTATCGCCGAAAACACACAGGGATGAAGTTTTCCTGCGCGTTCGCCGACGCCTCTTTCGCCAGCTGGTCGGATCCGTTCCCGTTTGCCTTCGCGTTCCTTCTTACTTTCGTCTTCGTCCCGTGATTCTCGAGAATTCGACTCGCACGCAATTTCGCAACAATACTCGTCGATTTAAACATCCCTTTTTATTTAAAAACAACCGATTCGTTACAATACACTTTGGAAATATATGAACATCAGGATTTCGCGCCGATGGTGATAATAATCCGCCAACGATCGGAACCTACACGATTTCTACGCGACATACGCCACGCGTGGTCATAGTCGACGTTGTCGTTCGAATTTTCACGCGGCACGCGTTTACATTTCGGACGCGCCGTACAACGCGACTAGATACGGATAACTATTATTATTATCGTTATTAATAGCATTATTATTCTTATCGTTATTTAACATTACTACTATTATCGTTATTATTATTATTATTATTATTATTATTAATATTAATATTATTATCATTATCATCATCATATTATTCTTTAAACGTTTTTTCGATTGAACGGCCCAAGAAACCTTACATCTTTGCTTAACAATATGTATATCCTAGCGTCGTTATCGCCTATTTACACTCTGACGGAGGAACGTCGATCGAATATCGCTCGCGATCGCGTTCGTAACGGTCAACTCGATCGACGGCTAACGATAGAAAAAGAAAACGTTCGGTGCATCGCGAGTTCTTTCGACGAAACTATTTACAACGAGTCGAACGATTCGCGTTCGCCGGTCGTTACGTCCGTTTTCCGTGCGACGACCAAACTAAGAATCAACGCGCTCGCTTCCCCCTCGTAACGGTTGCGAGAATCGATCTTTGCTCAACGAGGATAAGTCGAACGGCAGTTTTAAGAGGATATCGAGACGACGGTGGGTCTATCCAAGTGACCGTTGTCGAGAATAATTTTGGTAGCCGTCGCGCTCGGCGACGAATTGCCGAGAGTAACGATGTGCGGGGAAGCGAGCTGATGATGATCGGGCGAGTGACCCGCCGACATCATGACCGGCGATCGATTCGCGCAAGGCGGCGACGGACACTCCACTTTCGGCGAATGAGTTTCGAGCAATTGTTGGTGCTGGTGCTGGTGTTGATGCTGGTGCTGCAATTGCTGCTGTTGGTGCTGCGGATGATGTTGGTGTTGTTGCTGAGAAGCCATCATCTCGTAGTAGATGTTGGGCATGGTCGGTTGATAGGAAACTATCCTGCTGGGTGGCTGAGAACCACCGTAGACGGTATTCCCGTAGCTGACCTGAGGCATTCCGCCCCCGTGGCTCATCCTTAACTCGCCGTAAGCGACTGTAAACGTGGAGAGAATCGATTAATCGTCCGTTTTCGTTTCCGTCCACGACGAGCGCGATTACGTACCTGGTTCCAGTTTTAAGCTGTCGTTGTTGTTGTTGTTGTTGTTGTTATTGTTATTGTTAGCGGTGGTGGTGTTGTTGTTGTTGTTGGCGGCGTTGCCGGTGGCGGTGGAGTTGTTGCAGGCTGTGGCGGAACCGCAGATCGGCGTGTCGGTGGATTTCATGCCACCCTTCGGTTTCCTCTTTCGCGTCTGAATGCTGTCCTTCTTCATGGTTTGAGGCCTGTTGACGCCGTGCAGTTTAAAGTAGAGACCGCACGCGTTGCAAACCGGCTCGCCCAAAGTGTTGCGACGCCACAGTGACGTCATGGTCGTTTGACAGTTGCTGCAAGAGGTGCCTACGCGTCTCGAAGCGGACTGCGCAAACACGAAATCGTTTTAAAACGCGTTTCATCGTCGCGCCGCCCTTCGGGCTACGAGCCAGACGGATGGTCGGGCAACGGAGGGACTACGAGAACGCGGCGAGCCAGACGAGTCGCGCCGAAGGAGCTGCGGATCCGAGCGAATGCTCCGACGGACGGACAAGCGGAGAAATCGAACAGAGACACAAAGGTAGCGAACAAATTAAACTACTATCCACTTATTCTTTTTTCGAGCAGAATTTCGACTTGGCACGTCGACGAAAAACGAGCTAATTTGTCGGAGAAACCGGAAGGAAGAGCAGAGGAGCAACGCGACGGATGGACTACGACGGCTTTGCAAGAAATAAGGAAAACGGTCAGGAAAGAAAGAAAGATAGAAAGAAAGAGAGAGAGAAAGAGCTTACGACTAGTTTAAAATTAGGTGCGATCTAGGTCGGTCGCGTTGTCTCGCGCGATCGCGAT